TTAAGCACTTCAATCAATTAAAAAACCTTTAATAACACATTGTGTGTGTCAACTTTTCTGACATATGTCAACTCTATAAACAATATAAAAAAAAAAGTTAAACTAAATTAATTTGCAATAAAATTAAATTAAACATTCAGTTTTATAAAAAAATCCTAATAGAATGATTTCAAAAAATTTAACTTAAAATAATTAAAATTTTAATAACATTATCTAAATTAGATTTACTAATTTAATTAAATTCAATTTTCAATTTAATTTTTAGAATATAATTTTTAAATATCAATTACAAAATTATTTTAAACTTTTTTTTATGAATTCAAAGGAAAAAAAATATCTTTTTTTCTTGTTCGTTACATTTTTGAAATCATTTACGGATATTAGCGATTAACGATAAACGAAAAAGCGCATTTGTCTCTCGACAAATGTCGAAAGCAAAGCTAGACAAATTACTGGGAAAATTCTTCAGGTTCTTGAAAGCAGTGAAAGTCTTGACTTCTTCCAAATAGTTTACGTGAAAATGTTTTCAACGTGAAAGTAAAATATAAATCTTAAAATATATGAAGAAAGGAAAATATATAAAAACAAAGATAGGTTTTTGGACCCTAAAATTAGTTTTTTTTTTTAATATTTAAATTTTAAAAAAGTAAAATATCAGATCGGGAAAATAATTATTTTACAAAATTATTTGCGTTTGGTATAGTGAAAAATAAAAACTAACGACCAGAAAATATCAGAACTTAAAACGAGATTTAAATGAAATTTTGAAATTAACTCTGCAAAATGAACATTTTTAATAAAATGCTACATTTTGTAATTTAAACTTGTCAGAATACGAGAAGAACAGAATGTATAATATCAATGGGAATATTGAGTTACTCAGTAAAAGTGTCGAACAGTAAAATAAGCTTCATAATTCTATTTGGATTCATCGAGCTTGAAAGCTTCCACAATGAAAACTTACACATATATACATATATAGAGTGGCTTTATTTAAACTGCATCAAGAGAAAATTGTTTATACGATGATGGCATTCGCCAAATTGAGCAAATAAAAGAAATTCATATCAACACGAAAAAAAAATAATAGACAACTATTTTTGATAATAAAAACCATATACCAAATTTTCTAAATTATTTTCTAAGTAAAAATGTTTAAAAAAAAAAATGGAACAAGTGAATGATTATTTTAAAGGGATTCACCTGATGTATAGAAATATTTTTTTCCTATCGTGTGTATATATTTACATGTGTGTTTGAAAATGGAGACTAGTGATTGACGTTAGTCAATAACTCGTGCAGAAGCTTATATTACATGCTTTGGTATCAATATATTGTAGCGGAAAATAATTTTTGAATAAAAATATAACAAGTCACAAAAAATTGAAAAAATTAATTTTCTTCCATTCTTGATTGAAAAGAAAAGTCTTTTCTTTTCTAATAGATTAAATTAAATATATTCTAAAGGGAAAAAAAATCTTTAATTAAATGCTTCTTTTTTTAAAACAATATTATACTGAAAAAAAATGTATTTGATTCAAATATTCGATTACTTGATTATTATCAAATAAATATATACTTGAACCAAATAATTTTTATTTGAGCCAATTAAATAGTATTTGTTTCAAATAAAGAAATGATTGATCCAAATACAATTTATTTAATTCAAATAAAAATTATTTGGTATTTATTTGATAATATTCAAGTAACCGATTATTTAAGTCAAATAAATTTTTTTCTCAGTGTATATTCTAAATATTTTATTAAAATATTGATAGTTTATATCGTTAATATTAAAAAGTGAAAAAAAAATATTCTTAAATTAAGAATAAATCTTTGGTAACTATTTTTTTATATTTCAATTCTTTAATTCAGTATATTCTATTATAAAAATAGAATCCTATTATTTGTCATTGATTTATGGGTTCAACCTAAATAAAAATTGAAATCTATATATCTATATATAAGTATACAGAATTAGAGAATACTATTTTGTTATTACTCACTTTAAAAAGGAACTTTTAAGCATATTTGCTTAGAGGAGGAAAAAAATTCGATAACAAGGGAAGACAGAAAGGAATCATTTTTCACAAATACATAGGAAGAGAGAGAGAGAGAGAGAGAGAGAGAAAGAGAGGCTTAAAGAATAAGTTAAGGCGTTGAAGTACCATTAATCATCAGGAGGATTCAAGACTTAGACCATAATATCGATTGTTTTTCATTTCTCAAAGCTTCCCTGTACGATTATTATCGGATCTTTCGGAAACTCAATCCAAGTAGTACTTCGATAGTATCAGAAAACTCCTCCCTTTATATACGAGAAAGGAAACTACACACTGACCTGATAAGTATCTTTTTTTAAAAAAAAAATCCCTAAAAATAGCGTGTCACACGTTCAGCAGAGTATTATATATATAGCTTAGGAATTCATTAATTATCCCAGCTTTTAATGTAGAAAACATAATCTTGAATATTTTTGAGGTCACGAAAAAGTTACTTTCAAAAAGGATGAAGAAGAAAAAGAAAAAAAAATAAAATAAAATAAAACGTTAAATAAGGACGCTATGAGATCTTGCCGATTAACCGAGATTTAGGCGGTGAAAACTTTTGCGCTGAAACTTTCGCTAGATTTATTTCCTTCAGAATTGAAGTCTAAGTTCTTGCACTCATCCAAAGCGCAAGATGAAACTTCTTTGAAATCCTTTGCCGTGTCTCAAAATAATTCCCTTCTTCGCTCTCGACAATATTAATTTAAATTTAAATTCAAATTTTATTCCATTTCTGATATTTTTGTTCTTTTTTTTTTTTCTCTTAATATGAACCTCCTTGTGATCCACGAGGTTCATTAAAATCTAAATATCAGATTTTTTTTTTGATTGCATGCTAACTTGATTGACAACTTTAATCGGTTATTATAACAAGGTCATTGACGAATCAAGGCCGCGAACAAAATTCAATCATATTATTAATTTTCCATTTTTTCCATGTAAAAAAAAACAATTTTCAAAATGAGATATTCCTTTTTAAATGTCAATTAATGTGGTGTTAAATTTAGGTGGAAAAATTGCAAGAAAAAAAATAAAGATCGATTGTATTTTGTTCCGTTCAGTCGTCACGGAACTTGTTCGTGATCTTTTCAAACAAATAAGTACACAGATAATAATATTACCTGTCACAAAATGGTACCAGAAAATAATATAGAAAACTTACATATTTTTTTTTTCTTTCTAAAAATCGAGAGTATTTCTTCCATCCACACACTCATACACACTCGTCAGAGAATGAAAGAGAAGCACACACAGTTTAAGCCGATCGAAGTTGAGCAGTCAAGTTTTAATGGTGCAAAAGCCAGTAATTTGTAATTTGTCTTTCGTTGAAAAGTGAGAATTTATCAGATGCAGAAAATGAGTTTTCTTGGAAAGAGTGGTGAACTAAGCGGTTTAAGAAACAGCCACAGGCGCTTTTTTTTCTCCGAAAATTCGAGCTTATTCATATATATATATATATATATATATATATATAGTATGAAAATCAGATTGGATCTAAAACAAAAAAGAAGAACAAGACTTAATTAATAAAAAATAATTTTTATCAAAAGGGGATTAAATAAAATAATTTAAAAAACGGAGAAAAAAGATAAATATAACTAAAGATTAATAAAGAATTATTATTTATTATTCCAATAAATATTTCTTTCTTTAAAATAAATATTTATTTGATAATAGTCAGGTAATATAAAATTTATAAAATTAATAAGTTCGATAACAAAATTCAAGAAAGGAAAAAAAAAAAAAAGAAAAGAATTTAATAAAGAAAATTTAAAATAAAAACTGAAGAAAAAGGAAAGATTAATGATACAGAAACGAATATATTGAAAAAAAAGAAATATCTCAGTTATTCTAAGGGAGAATAAAAAAAAAAAATCTCAAAAGATATAAATTGACAAAGAAAAATAATTAAATAAAAATCAAGACAATTGGTCAGTGATGCTGTATATATTGAAAACTTATTGTTTCGTAATTCGACTTTCTGTCTGTTGAGAGATTTCATTTCTTTTACTCAAGTATCTAGGTGAAGTTTCTTGACGTTCCTCTGGTCTAGTGGTAATGAGGACTTCTTTAGTTACGCAACACCCTCTATAAGTCATGACCTTTATCAATAACAAACGCTGACCCAAATACGTTCCCGCCAAATGCACTCAAATCGAAAACAAATCCAAGTTTTTAGATTTTTTTTTTTTTTTTAATCTCCCTTATTAATCATCTCATCATTCCTTCATCTTCAGCTTTATTAAAAATATAAATTATCAAATTCAAATTTTATTATAAATTATTCGAATTCGAACAAAAAATTTCCTGTTATTTTCAAATTCTTTTCTTTTTAAATTTCCTTTCTCTACAAATAATACCAATGAGAGTATAATAAATTTGTCAATGCCAAAATTCATTTTTGACCCTGAAATCGAGTTTCGATCGGACAGTAAATGTAATATTATAAATTAAAAACATTTTTTAAAATTGAAAATTGTGAAAAAAATATTAAAATACCTTTTCAAAATAAAAACATTTAAAAAAATTTTTAAAAATTTTTTAAATTAAAAATAAAAATACATTTTCTAAAATTGATTTACATTACAGCGAGTTTATATTTTACGTAAGTACGCAGTCTCGTTCTTAACTTTGTTATCATTCTTATTGAATGAAGGTAATGGCAGTGTCGCTATTGCCTTGAAATTACATTGCTATTGCACTTAATAATCATGCTAAGAGATGCAATCGATAGTAGAAAGCATTGAAAGTAACGCGAAAATCCTCTTCACCTTGAACAATCCGTTTGAATAACGTTTAGACAGAGAATTGTATATAGTATAATCGCGTTACATGAAATCATTTCTTCCTATATTAATTAATAATTTCAACTTTAAAACAAAAAATCAATTTAAAAATTTTAAATTCATTTCAAAAATTGTCTTTGTTTTTTTTTTAGTAACATTGAGAAAATTTTCGTATTTTCCTTAAAAACAGAATTTTTATTTTTTACAAAAGTGATAGATAAAGCCTCCACATGAGCCTTCATATTATAATCACAGTTTACAATAACTAAACTTAAAAATCGAAAGTCAACTATTGTAAAAAAAAATTGTTTTCTTTCTGCTTAAAATTAACAAAGCAGACAATAATATATACAACGACGAAATACTTCTGAAAGTTTAAATGAATGAAATTTTTTCTTGATTTGAACTTCTGCTCAAAATATAATTTAATTTATAAATAAATGTTCTTTTGATACTTAAAACATTTTATACAATAAAGTTTTAAACTTTAAGAAATATATATATTTTTTTAATTTCATTCATTTCAACTTTCATAACTTTTTAAATGATGAAAATAATTTTTCGTTAAATAAATTTTTTTCAATGAATTATTTTCACTTTTACGTCTTGACATTAGAAATTTAAATTAATGTCCAACACTTGGCATACTTGGAGAACCTACAACGTCTATAATATCCGATTTAACTTCCGGTTCTGCTTTTGGCAAAAGAGCCGCCGGAATTGTTAGTGTCTGAAACAATAAAATGTGTGGCGATTTATTTAAATAATTAAATTAAAAATATCAAAAAATATTTTCCTAGACAATATATAAAAAAAAACATACCTTTCCAGGTACGAGAGCTTCATATTGATGCCTCAAAGACTGTAATTCATAATCGCATGTTGTCAATGCTCCTCGTAGTTCATAATGAAGTACCATATCACTACGAAGTTCATTGAATTGTTGACAAATTTGTTCAGTTGGCGGTGGATTTAATTCTAGAATAAAAATATTCAAAAATTAATATTAGAGATTTAATTTACAATTATTAAGTCATGTCTAAAAACTCATAAAAATAAATTATTTTCATTTTAAAAGAAATATTAATAAATTAATTATATATCTTCATACCAAGCTGTAATTCAGTTAACATTTGTTCAATGCCCTTCATTTTCTTTTGACCTAAACTGCTGGGCAATTTAATTCTCTGTGAACGTAGAGAAACTCCACTATTTTTAAAATCAGGAAACTTGATTCCAGCCGATTCAACAGCCTGAAAATTAATGGTCTTTTGTAACAGACCATCAGAACTCGAAGGTTAATGATTTGTGTACGTATGGTGTTAAAAAGATTTTAAAAGAAAAAATAATTATTCAAAATTTAAATAATAGTCAAAATTCGAGTTTTTGTGTAAGTTCGATGATTGGAAATAAATGATAATGATAATTTTACATACATGAGAAGAATCAGCTTTACTAGGTCGATTTCTTGATGAACTACTATTTTTCTTTGATGATTTTCGTTCACTTTTTCTTGGATCTGATTGATGATCAGCGGCGGTTATTAATTTTTGTAAATCCTGTGTCTTACGATCTCTTTCCTTTTTTCTTTGCTCAATTTTACGTAATTCCGCAAGTAGAGTTTGCTCCTCTTCAACTTGTTCCGGTGTACGTTCAAACAATTTTTTTAATTGTTCCTTCCTATGTTTTTCATGTTCTGCATCAAATGAATAAATTTTTTCCGTATGGGATTTCGATTTTGTTATCGAACCACAAACTTGATAATATCTGTAAAAAGTATAAAATTCAATTTCAAAAAAATTACACATAATAATGATAAGTTTCATTTAAAATAATAAAAAAATTAACAAAAAAAAATAAAGAGTTAAAGGAGAAAAAAGTTTTTATTAATATTTACTTACCGTTCTTTTAATTCTTCTACACTTCTAACAGGAAATTTAGTTCTATCCCATCGATCATGAATAACAATAAATCGGAGATCGAATCTTCGACACAAGTCAAATAAATGATCTGTCTCGGCACGAGACCAATTGTTTACCACTAAATGTTGTAAATATTCCGCGTTCGTATAAGTTGGAACGGGAACTTTTTTGTTAAATTTTGCGAAAGGATATTCATTTCCTACGTCAGCTACTCGCCGCCAATGATGAAAAATAGCTCCATCAGTACGAGCAGGATTTGTAAATGGAGTCCACTTCCATGGTCTCACTTTTCTCATTCCCAATTGTGCTTTTACCTGTTTATATCCTTTGCTCGTGTCTGTTGGATACAATGGTGGCACATCGTTGTTGTCTTTGCAAAGCAATGCAAAAACCTCCCTATGCATACCCTCTGGTCGTTTAGGTACTCGGTAATCATATCTTTTTCTCACCTTTTTATTTTCTCCGAAAATTGTTTCTTTCGTTAATTCTGTCGATGGTGTTTCAAGATCCAAAATATCACGTACATCTGCCATTTTACAAACGACACCTAACCTATAAAGTGTTCCAATCTTCTCAACTTTTCGTAAAAGATCACCAAATAAATCACTAAATCACAAACTTTTAATTCATTGTTATAGGTTAACAATTATTCAATAATTTTATTAACTTATTAACACAAATATTGATAAATATTATTAATCTTGAGAAAAAATATTATTAACAAATACTTCTTCTTTCTCGTCAAAATTAAACTGACAACTGTGGCTAATGCGCATGTGTCATATAAAACTTCCGATTGGCTGCCTACTTTTCGCACATTTTTGGCGCCATTATTTGAAATGGATCAAAGTAAAAAAAATACAAATGACCAAAGTATAATTCATAATTTTTCATTTATATATTTAAAGATGTGTGTTAATATTTATTTTCCATATAAAAATTAATAATTTCTGAAGATTTGTTTAAATCTATAAATAAACGCAGGCGCAAGTAAATTATTAGTAGCGATAGTGCTGTTCCTAGCGAAGGGTGGATACATTAATCAATTATTGAATCTGTATCTGAATGGTTTATTTTTGAGTTTTTACGGTTTTTTCGTATAATTTTATTTGGTTTTTTGATTATTAATTTCATCTTTTCAAAGATGGAGTTTTGGTAACTTTTAAAAGAAAAAAAGGGGTGAGCGTAGCAATAAATATTTATCATAATGGATATTGGAAACTCAACAAAAACTACATTGCAGAGATACCTAACCTTAAAAATACCTATATCGGTAATAATTAATTTTATTTTTAAATATAAATAAATATAATACATTTTTATCTATAGAAAACATTTGCATTATTCAGCATTAAATTTTTTATAGATTTTTAAACTTGTTTTTTTTTCATTTTTAAATGAAAATTTTATTATACTTTAATACCTCATATAACGTGCCCATAACATTTTTAAATGTTACATCATTCTTGACTTTTATAATTTTACAAAAGTGAGGTTTCATTATAATTAGTAAATAATGATGTAATTTTATTTGAAATTAAAAACAAATTTTAAAAAACGATTTGAAATAATAAATTTTTAATACTAATTTATATTGCAAGTTAATTGATTTATCTTATTTTTGTATAATGATTAATTAATAATATAAAATGAAATATAAATATGTAAAAAAAAATTGCATTAGAATATATAACAATAAGATAAAATAGATCATCCTAAAAGTCTATTTTTAATCATAATGATTTTATCCTATAAAATTAATAACATAAATGTTCATGGGATTATTTACGAATTTATTTAACTAAGACTGCTGATAAGAATTATTACAAAAGTCAATATATATCTTTTATATATCATAAAGGTTAATGCAATGGTCCAATGTACATAATACAGAGGAGGCGTAGCTAACAGTTGGACAATTTACTTTTATTAAGGGATTGATACTATTAAGTAACGATGATTTTGCGTCTTATTTTAATAAAAAAATTTGCATCTACTTTAAATCCCTTTTATTCAATTTTTCATCAATAGTTATTTGATTATGATCATTTAAAAAAATATCATATATTCACAATTATCCTTACGATATATTTTAATCAAATGAAAATTATTTTTTTTATAACTACGCATGACACTTTGTAAGCAGTGAAAATGAGACAAAATTATCCTGACCTTTTGAGTGTTTTCAATTACTCATCCAATAAAAAATAACCATAAAGTGATATGAAATCATAATCGAAATTTTAGTACGATTCAAATAAGAAATTTAAACATAAAAATGTTCAAATTATCACTGTATAATAATTTATTTTTAAATTAATGAAATTTAAGTAATAAATAAATTTAATTAACAGGTGGAAATTAATTAATTTTCTAAAATAAAATAAATAAAATATTTTCTAAATATTTCTCCAAATTAGAAAAAAATTTTAGGTGAAAAAATAAATTAGCAAAACCACTATTATTTTCTGTTTGAGTAAGATAATAATTATTATTAATCTTTAATAATTAATTAATATTAATTATTATTATTAACAAAGACTGTATAAATTTTTTAATCAAATTTTAATTATTTTAATTTTTAAATAATTTAATTAAAAAAATATTTTAATTAAAGAAAAACTGACCCCGTTTTATTAAAAGATATTTAACGAATTTGAAGAATATTGTAAAGTTTAAAAATTGATCATAAATATTATTAAAGATGTAAAGAGTGTACTAGGAGTCTATAAAACAATAGGTAACGATCATGGTTAGTAACTATCAAAACGACGAGTAGGTTGAGTTCGTCATATTGTAAATGTGGGGACATAATATAACAGCCGGTATTAGTTCAGTGACTACGACGCGTATCAGTTGGCTCGCATTTATATAGAGACAGTTGAAGACAGTTTCTTCAACAGTCTCGGTCTTGTTATAGTTCCTCGTAGTTTAATTCAGTGTATGTTCGTTTCTGTTCTTCCAAGAAGAACCATTATCTAGTTATTAACTTCGGACACCCATGTACCAAGTGCTACATTCTTTAATTGGACGGTATAGCACCGTTACTTTTCTCGTTGGAACATTTCTCATCTCTAATTATCTCACTTAATGAGAAAATTCATTAAGATTTAAGTGAATTTTTGTTCACTTGAAAAGTTTTTGAATAGCTGAATTCACAAAATATCCATTGATCCGGTTATTGATCTTGAGAAACAGGTTTTAAAGAGAAACACAACGTGGAAGAAATCAATAACTATCGGTAGGATTATTTTTCTACTTTTCGAGTTTTCAAAATGTTACTCACTCTTTTTTTCAAAAAAAAAAAAAAAAAAATTACATTAAATGAGATGCAAAAAATGGAGCAAAAATGCTGTATTAATTATAAATTAATTGTAATATAATACTAAGAGGAAAATAGTAAAAGTTTTCAAGCATTATTTCCCGTGATAAAAATAGTTCAAGTAAAAATAAATATCTTTAGACATTGTATGTCAATTATAAAAAAAATTATACCATATATATATAAAAAAATTAAAATTTTTAACAAAAAAAAAAAATAAAATGATAATAAAAATTTTAATAATTTTTTTTTATTTTTTAATTTAAAAAGAAAAAAACAATCTTTAAAAATATTTTCTTATTTTACGTTATCATATTTTTATTTGTTTGTTATCTAAATTTAATTATATTTCATTCAAAAATATGTACATATTATTAGTCATAAAGTGGAACACGTTTTTAATAATAGATTTTCTAAAAATTCATTAATTAAATATACATTAACAGTAAATTTCATAATTTTTCCATTTATAAATAGTTGAAATTTGAAAAACTTGATAGAAATCTTCAAAAATTTAGTATCACCATTGTTCACATCTCAGTTAACAAATAAAAACTGCACGTGTTTTACATATATACTCGTGTCGCAATATTTATCCACAATTATAATAAAGTCTTTCGAATAAACCTCGACATAAGCAAAATTGAAAAATAAAAAACCAAGTTTTTAAATAAATAAATAATATTTAAATTCTCTTAAAAATTTTTTTCACATAAAAATAATTTGTAAATTTTAATTTCTATTAAATCATAAAATCGATAAATTGATTAGAAAAATAAATAAAGTATTTAAAAAATTAATTTAATATTCTCTTTTTATAAAAAAAAATATAATAATATATTAAATAATAATTTGAATTTAAATATTTAAACAAAATAAATTTAATAAAAATCAGTTAAATAGGTTAATAGATGTAATAATTAATAATAATCAGTTAATTAATATTAGTTATAATAAAAAAATTAAGATTATCAGACAAAACGTATGCATTATTAGAATAATCAAACAATATCGATTAAATTAATTTTTATTGAATAATTAGATCATGTCAACCGACATCCCATTAATTTGATACGTTCAAAGTGTATATTTTGCGGTTTCAATCTACAATTTAAAAGAAAAATTTGTTTTCCACATGCAAGATGAAATCAGATCTTTAATATTTATTTAATTTCTAATCAATTTAAAAAATTATGTTTCTTTTTTTTCAGAATCGATTAAAGGTGAAACTTAAAGCAACATATTAAGAAAATCATTTTTTTTAAAATGGTTCTTTCCGAGAATACTACGGAAAAACAAAACTCAAACACTGACTTGAGTAATACAAGTTCAAATGTAAAATATAATTCTTATGAGCATCAACAACACGAGGCCAATTTACATAATGAAAACCGCAGTAATTTCATTGAAAAAAATTATCTTTTATCTGAAGTTAATAAAAAAAATTCCATAATTTTGTCCGAAGAAAATAATATCAATATGCAAAAGATGAATGGTTTTAAAAAAGAGATTGATGAGAAAAAATTTAGTCTAAATGATCCTGAAATGAATCCAATTAATGGGCATATTAATGAACCACCCGATGGTGGAATAAGAGCATGGGCAATTATGATTGGAAGTTTTGTCATCAATGGAATACTCTTCAGTGTTATTAATAGTTATTCTCCAATTTATGGAAATTTAAAGGAAAGACTGAAAATTGCAGGCCTTAGTGATACCGCAGAAAAAGCCGGTAAGTATTTTTTTTTTTTTTTTTTTTTTTTTTTTTAATTAAAATTTAATGAAAACATTAAATTTTGTACTTAAAAAAATTTAATATTAGTTAATATTCTTTATTATAAAATAACAAAAAATTAATATTAAAAATTCTATCACATTAATATCTTAATGTTTTTGAAACTAATGAATTAGAATTTAATTAGAATGATTGATTTTATCGATGGCCTACTTGACAGATAGATTGAGGGATAATTATAAAATCTAGATCAGGATGCAAAAAATAAATCGCTAATTGGAATTAAGTAAAGGTTACAATTTCACCTTATTATTTATTAATCTATACGTCTCAGTATCTCACTCATTAAGTTAATTAATAAATATCAAGACTTTAAAAAATGAATAAAGTTTTGAAAAAAATTTATATAAATATATGATTAGATTATTTAATAATGATAAGATTAAAAAATTTTATGATTAATGATAATCTAAAAATGAAGATTGTTTCAAGTACTATTAAAATCTAAAATAAATAGAATTTTGAAATTATTGTAAATATAGGTAAATGAAGGAAATGAAATTACAACAACAAACAGGTCATTGAACTGTTGTATTGTATCTATGCTAAAAGAAAATTGTCAGTTGATAAATGATAAGAAACTAACTGTAGAATAATACCGATGAATTACAATTTATTACTTTCATCTTACAATCAATTATATTAATTTTCTATTTATCAAAATATTCTAAATTTCGCAAATATGTGTTTGATGAAAAGTTTTTTTTTTAACTAAACGTTTTGACAATGCTATATAAACAGTTATTTTATGGAAATAATTATGTTTTAGAAATTTTTTTTATTATAAAATAAAAATTATGAAATTAATATATTTTTCAGAACATAAGAATTTAGAAATTAAACTTGATTAAAAACACAATTAGAAAAAATATTTTTAGGAAAAATTGTTTTTTAATTTAAGTTTAACGTTTTTAAAAAATAAAATTCTTTTTCTTAAAAGTAAATGAAAGTTAGATTGAAGAAGTAACATTATATTCATTTCTTCACGATAAAAGTTAGCAGAAAGATAGGAAATCTTATACATGTGCTAGCAAATCGTGCTTTAGATTCTTTTTTACGGATTGTTTCACTAACGGAAGTTTAAGTAATTTAATTTATATATATATATAATTTTTTTTAATAATTTTTATTGTAATAATTTTATTCAATTCAATATTCAATTTTCTTAAACTTTTAAAAATATGTAGGTATTAAGCTAATTTTTTGAAACCTATTAACGTCTTCAGAAATGAAAAAAATTTTAATATATATAAAACGGTCTTTAAAGTGGAAATAATCTTCGTTTGATAATCAATTACATGTTTAAGATCATTTATTTGTTTTTAAACTGATAATTTGATAATTAGTTATAAAATCTATTACATCATATTGACATATTAAACATAAAATATAATGAATTTAGAATTTTTTTTCTTTGATATACCGACAATGTAGAATATAAAAGTCTCTTTATATCATATCTCTGTTGAAATTTCAAAGATACAATATGTTACGTTAATGTCTTTAGAATTTATTTGTATTATAGTTAAATTAATATCTACCTCTCAAAGTGGTCATATCAAAGGGCCAATTAAGTTCAATTAACCTTAATTATTTGATTTCTCTTTAATTAAGATACGACAGAAATTGAAAAGAATTATATGAAGACTATTATTAAAAGTCGTCAATTTCTTAATTATATTTATATTAATTTCCATATGTTTTTAATTATATTTATTTATTTCACTGTGTAAAAAAAGTTTATTATAAATGTCCCAATTTATTAAAAATTCTAATATTACTTTTTTATTATGCAAAAATGTAAAAATTTCATATCTACTAAAACGTAAGTTAATGACATAAAATGATATTTATTATTTAAGAGCACGAAAATGTTTGAAAAATTTTATTACACACGTGGTAATATCAAAGCGATTCACGTCACTTGGCGCATTTGATTTGATAGTAAATTAAGAAATCTTAAATGCATTTAAACACGTTTTTATCTAAAAAAAAATAAATAAAAGTCAATATTTTTCAATTAATTAATTAATCTAATTAATTATTTATAAAGTTTTTTTTTATAGGAATCTCAAGGAACCTCATAAATACAAAAATGGGGTTTCGTATTTGTTATGCATTGTAAGAAAATCATTAGAAGAGTTACTTAATCCTAATTATGGACCCTTCTTGACCCATATTATACAAAAATGGGGTTCTTTTATGTTTAATATTTTTTATAAGATCCCCATGAGAATTCACATACGAAAATGTGATTTCTAGGGAGTGCTATAAAAAATTGTATAATAATTAATTGAATATCATTCTTATTGAACATTTCTAAAGAAAAGCAGAGTATTCCAATACAAAAAATTAATTAATTAAACATTAATTTTTTTAAAAAAATATGTTTTTTTTTAATTTGTAACAAAATGAGATCAAATTTCAAAAATTTAATTTTTAAGGATTACTCTATAATATAAATATATCTTTCTTAATTTTTAATTCAATCAATTTTCTGAACTCTGTTCAATTAGATGAGATTGTTGTTTAGAATGAGGCGATCGCCCCATGTTACTTACTGAGCTAAATCAGAATATATTAACCACCAATTAAACGATCATTAACCATAATAAGGGTCAAGTAACTCTTCTAATGATTTTCTTACAATTCATAACAAGATTAATAACTAGAACAATAACTATTACATAAGAACTTTTATCGTAAAGAAAAGAATTTATATTTGTTCTTTCTTTTCTATTTTTAAAGTACAAATAAAAAAAAAACCAATTTAAATTGTTATTGACATTTATTTAAAAATTTTTTTTTTTTTAGCAATTGTTGGTTCTCTACAACTTGGCACAACATTTGGAATGTCTCCTGTGGCAGGAATTCTTACAAAAAAAATTGGACTCCCAGTGACAACATTTTTAGGAGGTCTTATTGCCTCTGTGGGAGTACTTATATCAGCTTTTATGCTAGACTCGGTATTCATTAGTTTATGAGATTTTTTAATTTTCTTATCCACTAGACATTTAGTTGAATTGAATAATTATTTAATTTTAATTTTAAAAAATTTTTAACATTTATTATTTATTTAAAATAATTAGTTAATTATGATACTAATGTTATATTTTTAATTTCAGGTTGAATATCTGTACTTGACATATGGAGTTATGTTCGGAGTAGGATCAAGTCTTGCCTATGGTCCCAGTTTAATAATTTTAGGACATTATTTTAAGCGTCATTTAGGATTAGTAAATGGAATTGTTACTGCAGGAAGTTCCATTTTCACAACCATTATGCCACATTTCATGGGTTATATAATTGAGAATTATGGTTTAAAAACACTTATGATAAGCTTGGGTGCTCTTACCTGCAGTGTAATGCCCTGCGCTTGTTTATTTAAACCAATTGCTCGTGAGTAAATAAAGTCATTAAACAATAATTAAGTTGATAAATTTCAAAAATTACAAATTTTAATTTATATTATCACAGACCTTTTTCAACAAATAGATACTGAGATGATTATTAATTTGTATATTAATAATAAATTTATTTTATTTAGTTAATTTTTATATGAATCTTTAAAGTAATAATTTTAATCGTTTTCTTTTCAATAGTGAATACGTGTCCAGTTGTAGAGAAACCAAAAATTACGCACGATACAACACTTTGTGAAAAACTTAAAAGTAAAATCAATACGTCCGTATTAAGAAAGAAAAAATATATTATCTGGGCATTCGCTATGACCATTGCTCTTTTGGGGTGAGTTATGTTTTTAGATAATAATCATCAATAATTTAATGAGACAATTACAAAAAAAAAATGACAATAATAATAATTAGCCAAAAACATCTTAAAAATTTTAATAAAAATTGAAGAAATTTTTGGCAATAATTATTTCATCACTGTATAGTAATTAACTTGTGTAATTATCGATTAAAAATCTTAAATTTTTTTTTTAACTTTTATTATTTCAGTTATCATGTGCCATATATTCACGTAGGGAAATTTGTAGAAGATAATTTTGGTAAAGATTATGATAAAAATTTTCCAATCACGTGCCTTGGAATAACGTCGGGAATTGGGCGCTTAGTTTTTGGTTACATCGCAGATTTACCACGTATCAATAAAATATTTTTACAACAGGTTAATAATAATTAATTTATTTTAATTTTACTATTTAAAATTATAAACTTCTATTAAGTAATTTTAATTTTTTAATTAATAATGATTTTTATCGATTTTTCTCTATAGATTGCTTTTACTTGTTTGGGAGGTCTAATGATGCTTTTATCAGTTACAACTTCTTACACAATGCTTTTAATAATTTATTCTGGAATGGGATTTTTTGACGGATGTTTTATATCTCTTTTGGGTTCAATTGCTTACGAATTTTGTGGTCATGAGCATGCAACGGCTGCAATCAGTTTACTATTGGGAATGTGCGCAATACCTGTAATTGCTGGATCAGCATTTGCTGCACGTCTTTATGATCGTACAGGTAATTAAATTATTATTAAATAACGCAACAGATTTAATTGAATTTCTTATAACTTTCTATCACTAATGTGAAATTAATTAATTAATGACTCAAATAATAAATCTTTTAATTAATATATCATTTTATGGGAAAAAAAATTCCACTATAATTTATTAATTAATTTGATCTTAACTAATTAATTAAATTAAAAATATATAAAATAATTTATAATTAAAATAGTTATTCTTCGACGTTTTAATAAATAATCTTTTTTAACTGATTTTTAATATTAAGTGAACTTTGATTTATTTAGGTTCTTACAGTATGACATTTATTATAAGTGGTATACCACCGATAGTAGCAGCACTAACCATGTTCTTAACAAGATGCGTGAAAAATGATGCAAATGAAAATATAAAAGATCCCGCTGGAGAGTCTTTAACCAAACCAAATGGACAAACTGGTTGGTAAAATAAATCTTATTTAAATTATGCTTTCACTATATGGTGCAATGAAATTTAGATAGTTATATTTTAACATTGTGTTAAACTAAAAACGACAGCTAATTTTTGTCTCTAATTTTTAAAGGAGGTCACGTTTGCTAAAAAATATTTTTCGTTCTAAATTTTTTTTTAAAAAAATAGATCGATTTCGTTTTTGAAAAATATTTTTTAGAAAACTTTCTCTTACTATTTTTTACTTTGAAAACAATTTAACCGTGTGTTTAACTAGTTTGTAAACTAATTTTTATGTTTTTAAAATTTTATAGTTTTTTCTTTCTAATATTTTTCTATTTAAATAATAAAAATTATTTTTTCAGTTCGCATGTTTTCTTCATGTACTGCACACGAGAAAAGGCGAATTAGACACTCACCATATTCATTGATAAAAAATTCATTTTCATCTTTAGTTATATATATAAAAAAATACAATTTATTGAATAATTGGTTTATGGTCTCACTAAAATAAAAGTTTTTCTGTCATAAATAATTTTCACCATTTTTTCTTTAGTGCTATTAATAAGATTGCAATTTTAACTATTCAGTGGGTGTTTTCATGTTTTCTTCATAGGTTGCACAATGTCAACAACGAAGGTAGAAATAATTGCAAATGAGGAAAAAGGTACGTTACTAAATGAAGAAATACAAAATTTAAACATCGAACCATTCTGGTCTCATCAACATTTTCGAAATTTAAATTATCATTTATTTTCGCATTCTGCAAATAATTCTAAACGCTTTAATCGTGAAATTTATTCTGAGAGTGTGCCACTAATTTTTAACGAGAATAGAAAATCTACTGATTATAGACGATTGACATATTCATTTCAAATTTAAAATAATTTTTAATTACATTAATTTCAATACATTTCTATGAATGATTGATTTTTTTATTTTTTGTTATTTTCTTGTATAAATAATTAAAATTTATACAAAAACGAATGAAACATTCGTTAAAAAATGTTAACAAGTGAAATTCTATATTTTTAGTATTGTTCATCAAACAGTCCTATATAAATTTAACTAATTTTACAATTGAATTCGCGGATTGGTTGAATTTATACATTCGCTTTTAAATAACTTTTGATGTGAATTTTACAATGGAAAATGAACTAAATTATTCATCTTTATTAGTTTAATTTAAAACTATATCTTTATAAATAATTTAAAAATATGTTAATTTAATTATAAACAAATAATTTTTAGTGAAATGTTATATAATATTATGACAAATATTTAAATTACTCATATAAAGATAACTGGACTAAAGGTACCGGCCATTTATAAAACTTTTTTTATATATATTTTTTTTTATTGTAAAATGATATTATTGTTTAATTTTAATTCAATGCCGACAAATTTGGTTCTCATGTTATTTGAGCTATTGAATATCATAATGGAAAAATTTCGAAATCTGACACTACATTGCTTTCTCGTGCAATAAATACAATTATAAAATGAAAAATTTGAAATATACTGTTCGCATTTTATCCAACAAATGAAGCTAATAGGGAATAGAAATGATTTTCGAGAGAAAGAACGCGGAATATTTGTTGATTCCTATCATTTTTCATGATAATTGAATTTTATAAAAGCATACAATTCAAAATATGAAATACATTATATGAAAGGTAATCAATAAGGTTCGTTATTAATTAATTGACTATAAAAATGTTAAAAACTGCTGTGCGCAACTGTAGATTTGCTTTGCTTTGTTATTTTGTGAATAAATGTCATAAAAATATTTATATTTCCTTTTTATATCTGCTAATAATAAGTCCTGCTATATATGTACATTCATATTTTTAATTATCCCCAGTAATCGTTTAAAATTATTTTTTTGTTTTTTTTTCTGTAATTGCCTTATTTGACACTATATTTTAAATCACTTTTCTAATTTTCTTTGAGAAAAATATATATTTTTACAAAAATTTTTTACAATTCTTTAAATGTGTTATTTGTACTTTTTCATTAATTTAAACTTTATTCTGAATGAATAGTAAAAAATAATTGATTTTAATTTATAATAATTCAAAAAATAATGAATGCAATGACTAAACTATAATAATTTATCAATATGGATAATTTTTTTTTCCTCATCAACACAATCGTACTTTACAAAAAATTTATAGAAGCAATTTTTAATTAAAGCTATATAAAAATTGTGAATAATTTAAAAAATATATTTATTTTATTTATTTACTATTATTATGTATAAAAATACACTTTCTTATTAATTTATTAAATATAAATTCAAATCTATGTACTCTTATAAAATAATGAATTACTCCAAATTCTTTCACTCACACTGACAAAAATTTCAACTTGATAACTAAATAGTTTAATTCAATTTTTTGAAAATTCTTTATAAAAATAAATTTATAACCAAAGAGTGAAGAGAAAGTATACGAATGGTATATGTAATAAATAGCATACTGAACTGAAACTCAAATGAAACTGTGATCTTTCCCCTTTTCCCTAAAGATAATTTTGTTTTTTTTTTTAATTGAACAACAACATACATAAAATGACAAGTTGATTAAGGAAAATAATATTACTCCATCGTTATAGAATAAAAGAATAATAATTAATAACAAAATATGATAGTAATAAATTAAAAAAAAATATCAATAAAGAATAGTATAAGATAATAATAAATAGTAATAAAAGAATTGTAAAAAATGTTGATAATAAAAGTAAATAATAGACAAAAAAAAACCGATATAAATTTGTAATGTATTTTAACTGTTTCAGATAAGGAACTTCAGGAAATTTAAAATAACGAGCCAATCTTCGCCAAATACAGCTTGAAAGAAAACTCAAAACAAAAAATTCATCCCCTCATCATTAATTATGTAGATATATGGTATTTTACTAAGTGAGTACAAAAATGCAACATTTTACTAAGTGTATGTGATAAAAAACGAAGATCTATATACGCATATATTTTTAATATCAATAGAAAATATTTTTAAAACAAATCATTATAGAAATAGTACATAATAGACCTTTCGTAAATTACTTCAAAATATTTCACAATCTAAATCCATTAAAACCTGTTAAATAATTAGATTAAAATATTGACAAGCAATTAGCATAATAGAAAACATAATGAAATTTTTCAGTTATAGTTCTGTGGAAATTATTTGTTTAGAAAATTTTTTTTCAAGTACTTAACTTGCACTATAAGTGAGTTAAGAATACAAAAATATAAGCCATAATAAATTCATCAAAATTGTAAGAAAAGGAAAAAAAATAGAAAAAAATTTCACGAGTACTTAACTCACATTTTAATATAATATAAATAAATTGTAGTTACATAATTTTATTGTCAAATATAATTTTCATTATGATTTATAATAAACTAAATGCATTTTCATACGAGGCTCGAATTTTTTTCTTTTCTTTTTTTTTTTTTAAATATAGACTATATAAATAAAATGAGAAATTAGACTTTTATAATTACACTAATTATTATTTTCATATGACAATGATATCATGCTTTTTATATAGAGAGATTAAAAGAGACACTACTTTACATTTTTAAAATATTATAATAAAATACTTTTTGAATTTAAATACTGCATGATATTATAAACTTTGTTCGTTATATTGTTACAACAGACTTGCGAAAAGCCAATGTGAATATTGCATTTATTTATAATCTTGAGCAACGAAAAATTAGAAATCTTTAATAATTCTCTTGAGTGTAAAAAACTATTATAGAAAATTAAAAAAAAAAAATTCCCACTAGATAAGAATTTTAAAAATATGTTAACTGAACAATACAGCAAAAAGAAAATCTTTTTTTTTTTGTTAGGAAAGAAATGAATCTAATTGTAAGTTGCTTTTTTAAACAGTCTTGTTGATTTTCTGAGTTGTTTTCTTTTACTGATTTTGTATTTTCAATTTAAGACAGTTATTTGGTAAAATAAAACCGATGCTGATTTTAAGATAGTGCTTTCCTAAATTAAAACTGAATAAATTTTGAATTTCACATGCTTCGTAAATTTAGATTTACAAATATCTTATTTTTACACAAGCTTTAGATTAAATTTATTTTATTCTTATTTTCAAGATAAACTTAATTTGAGATTAATGTAAAAAAAAAGATTTTCTTTCTACTTTAAAGTGAACTATTTTACTGCGAATTAGTCAATTTAGATGACAATTTTTAAAATGTACACTGTAAAAAATTTGAAGAGTTATAAAAACAGTCGGAGTAAAAAACCAGAAAAGTAAAAGATTACAATTTTTTTTTTTTAAATTTTAACTCCTACAAATTTTTATAACACTCATTTTTCACAGTATATGTATGTGTGTACAATTGTTAAGAATTTAAAAATTTATACACACTAAAAAGATTATATTTTTGAAAAATTGTTGAAATATTTATAAACTGAATATTTCATTGTTATACACAATATATAGTAAATCAGTTTTTAAAACTATTCTTGTATAATATATAAAAACTAAATCAAATATAAATGTCTATAGAATCTCAGAGAGAGAAAATTCAATAGAAAATTAGAAAAAACAAATAAAAATTACGTCAGAGGGAATTTAATAAAAAAAAAAAAAAAAAAACTAGCAACAAATGCATCTGTATTTAATTCATTTCAACCGAGTCCCGGTCTAATAGTTTAAGAAATATTTTTTTGTCATCTAAATATGATAATTTAGTTAAAATAATATAAATTACAAAATTAAACCACATAAAAAGTTCATCTAATTAAATATAAATTACTGTTAATGTAAATAAAATTATTTAAATAAGACAACTTAGATAATATTCTCTGCAATAGTATATGTAAATAAAATGATCTAGATTGTTTTATACAAAAAAAGAATATCAAGAATATCTAATCGAGATAATATTGTCCAAATTACTGATTATACAGTGCAACCTCGATTATCCAAACTAACTTAGACAGGACCGGGTTCGGATAAACGAAAATTCGGATAATAGAAATTTCAAATGTTTTTATATATAATTAAAGTAAAACAATGTCATAGTTAAACTATAATATACATATACTGAAAAAAAAATTTATTTGATTCAAATACTTGATTACTTAAGTATAATCAAATAAATATTTACTTGAACCAAATAATTTTTATTTGAATTAAATAAATTTGTATTTTTGAACCAATAATTTCTGTATTTGAAACAAATACCGCATTTAATTGATTCAAATAATAATTATTTGTTACAAATAAATATTTATATTAAATTAAATATATATTAAATAATAATTAAGATATAAATACATTAATAAAATGAAAAGACAAAAAAAAGTTCGGATAATCGAGGTTCCACTGTACTAATATGTCACGTATTTTTATTTATTTATTTTTTTGCTCAATATTGCAATAATAATTTTGCTTTTGATAATGATAAACAGGCGAAAATAATAGTTACGTTAATAAATTTTTCAAATATATACAGTGCACATTTTTAGGTGATGGTATTGGTCAAGGGTATATATTCAAATTCCGAGGACATAGTTCTGACTTGTTTCGCGCAAGCCAGGTTCACGTTCGCGAATTGACACGAGTGATACCGACCGCGTACGATGTCGCGAAGCGCGCGGAACATACGGTTATTTTTACGCGCGTCGCATTCGTGCGTCCTCGCGGTTGTGTTCAGGTTCTGTTTGATTTCTCCTATATAGATGTTTATAATCATCAGACAAACGCGATTTTCAAGCGCGATCATTCGGAAATAAAAAAAAAAATAAATAAAAAAATAAAATAAAATAAAATTCATTAATACAATACAAAATATATACTTAACATAATGTCAACAATTGTCCATTTTAAATTCACTTAATTTACGAATTTTTTTATTCTCATTTTCACGTGATCGGATTAATTATTATTTTATATTTTTATTATAAGTGGTGCGGTGTTAAGTTTCAATTTCAAATTGTACCCGCCAAAAATCAATTTTGAACTTCAAAGAGAAAATAACATCAACGTGCAATAAATTTCGGTGAATTTTTAAATTATCAAATTAATATTTATATGGAATTTTCATTTTTGTGATAAAATTATATAAGTTATTTGCGTGTGAAATATTTTCCATTATTTCAATAGTTCAAATTACACGGAAATTGAGCACGTTCTTCTCGTGCATAAAGTAATGTTCTAAAATGAGCTTTCAAACTATTTTTAGGCGCGTAAACGTTTGATTCTTGGGAGAGATTATTTTCATGATCTTTGTCATCGTCTTGTTTCACTATATATATATATATATATATCTAATATAAATAAATAATTGAGAAAAACTATATTTTTTGATACACGTGTAATGATAATAAGTGCGATAAATGTCATTTTTTTCGTATGTAACATTATTAAATTTTAAGATATTTAGAAACAATAAATTTATTTATATAAGAGATATTTCAAAACAAATAATTTATTTTCACATATTTAAAAATAATTAGAATTTACATATTTAATTTCTTATTGTTATTATTTAAAAAAAAAAAAAAAAAAAAATTTATAGGAAAACTAAAAATCCATATTATTTAATAATTAGAAAATAATATAGTTTTTATATTAATATATAATAATATAATAATTATTAATATATTACTATTACTGGAAATACGTCAAAGTGGAATATAAAAGAAATAATTTTGAAATTGAGAAAATTTGATAAATTTAAATTTAACATATCAAAATTCATTGTTTTAAAAATAATTAAAAATTAAAAAAAGAGAAATTCAAATTATGTTAAAAACATTAATTTGTATTATTATTCTCTCTCATCGTTGTTTACTTCTCCGTGGAGATGAATGGACTATTATCAATGGAAAGTGTTTCGCACTTATCAATGAAATATTTGAGAATTTATTTTACATTTGTATAGGTATTTAATAGCTTATCTATTATTAAACATTTATCACACATAATTTCTATTACATCATAATAAATTTCTTATTTTAAAATTGCATTTAACATTTAAAATTTTTAACACAATGAAGTTTAAATGAATTTAAAAATTCAACTTTAATTAATTAAATAATTATAATTAATCGTTAATTAATTAACTAATTGAATTATAATAATTAGAATTAATGAATCGAATCAATAGTAATTAAATTAATTGAAATTAAATATAAATTAAATTTCAATCTTTCCACCTAATTCTTTGAATTTGGTATAATCCTATACCTAATCACTAACTTTTCCCTGATACTCTGATTTACAGATTTTTCTTTGACTTATACGACCACTCTCTTTTTTGCTTTATTGAGAACAATTAAAAGAAGAAATTTTTGGTATATATATAAATACAAAACTCAGATGTATGAGTGAAATTTGATCTATTATTTGATAGTGAAGCGTCTGTAGGTCAAATATTTTCACGTATGACTCATGAAGGACATATGAAAAGTATTACAAAATATATACATTTGTGATACATAGAAAGGCGTAATGAGTAACAGACTTCCTGTACCACCCTCGAGGACCAGCGTTTCTCGTAGAAGAGTCGCAAAATTGTATTCAACAACACCAAATAATCCCAATGGCAACACAAATTCTAAATCTTCCGTTAGTCGACCAATTCCGTTAAAAATAAAAAAAGAAGCACCTGATGATGAAATAAAGGTACGTACATATTTTTTCCTCCTAATTTCATTAAAGAAAAAACATTTTTATACACTCAGAAAAAAATTCGTTTGAAGCAACAAAATTTTGGTTAAATCAACAAAATAAATGCTTTGATATACAGTTAACCAAACATTTGGTTGGCATAAACCAAACGTTTATTTAACTCAATCAAATTTTTTCTTTGTTCAAAAAATTTATTAAAATAAACCAAACAGTTAATTAGATCAAATAAATATTTATTTGAATTAAACAAATTTTGTTTGAACTAACCAAAAAAATTGGGTAAATATAAAAAAATGGTACAATTGGTTCAAACATATCTTTTTTCTGAGTGTATATTGTGCATTGAAAAACAAAATCTATACGAATTTGAAGACAAAGAAAATGACCGTTTTTTTTTTAATTTGAGAAATAGCTAATCAATAATGCTGAATTTATTAGTTCACCAATCATTTTTCAATTAGAGATGAAAATTTATTTTTTCGAGAAGAGTTTATTGACCCAGATTTGCGTGATAAAGGATCACAAATTTGTTAATGACATTAGGCTGTGCTGCGAAAGTACAGGAAACGATTACAGGGCACTCCTATAGAGGAAACGATGAATTTCCGTGCGATAATTTCAAGTGTATCTCCCAGAGCTAACTTGAAAAACTAAAAAAAAAAAAAAAAGAAAACCGATTATTCCACTTGAAGCGCAAATTTATCGATTTTCAATAAATGATATAGATATACACAAAAAAAAGAATTACTAGAACAATTGAAAACAGGAAAAAAAATATTTTGCTTTACTCAACACAGCATTTTGTTAGTTGTGAATTGGAATAAATATTAAAATTTTCTGACAGTATTGGAAACAATTATCTTTTTCTACTGTCAAATCATTATCGAAATGCAATTATGATTTCTAACACATTTTAGCCGTTCTAAGGAAATTTTTATTTTGCATCTATAATACTTGTAGAAGATCTAAATCTAAAAAGTCCAAAAATGAAGGAGTATGTTAATTTTTTTTTTTTATTATTATTATTATTATTATTATTATTATTCTTGTAGAGCAATGATTGATACACGTGTTACAAATACTCATACTATCAACTCCATTCTGCAACTTGTAGTGGAGTTGTACAGTATTCCCGTGTACGAAGATGAGACGACTTTGTATATACATATATATATATAGAGAGAGAAGCAATGGGTCTCGTGTTACCCTCCTTCGCCTGATTTATTCAGAATCATAATAGGCTGCAACACGACACCGACGGCTTGCTTCTCATCATTATATATTTTGCCTTGTGTATATGCTCACCTGAAGGTACTCGATTTCCCTGCGTAAAAAAATTTCTTTGCCACCTTCTCTTAACTACCGGCTACCATATACCTATTTTCATATATTTTATACATCAAGTTTCAAATTTCATATACATACGCGCATTTACAATATTTTTCGATATAAATCCACAGCAATAATTATACATATTTACTTATACATAAATATGATAACAATTGAAAAAATCACGAGCAAAAATTTCATCCATTTGTGGGAAATTATACTATACAAGAATCGTTAAATTTATTTATTAATTTATTTTGGTATTAAAATAAGCAAAATTGGATTAAAATAATAAGCGTTGCAACTTATTATAATACCTTATAATTTTCTGTGTACATCTAGTAATTTAAAAATTTTTAATCAATGGAAATTCTACAAAACAAAAATTCAAAGTGAATGAAAATTCAGTCATATGGAAAATTTAGTTAAATTAAAGTTATGTCAGATGAATATTTGGACAAATAAAAATTATTAAACTTTCATTGGTTCGGGGTAAAAGTACATATATGTTGCCATGATTTTGAAGCTATATAGAGTGTATGGAGTGAAGCTATTCCGGTACCTGACTAATTTTGCACAGTTAGCACTTGCTGCTGAAAACGTTCTGTTGGGGAATATGTAGCGAGCCGAAACATTTAAAGCCTGCGGTAAAAGTAATAGTTATTTCTAAAGAGTAGTCTGGTCGAACTGTCTGGCGTGCAGGTGAGCTTTCCCAGCGCACGCACGCATACATAATTGGATGCCTCGAATTTTGGTTCTCAAACTGCATTTCCAACTGCCAACTATACTCCTATAAAAACGATTTCCACCCCTTTCACTCTCTCTCTCTCTCTCCCTCTCTTTCTCTCTCATATATACGACTAAACTAAAACTCGGATTCTGTTACACTTCAACTTGCAATCGAACGCTGCATTGCGGTCTCAAAAACTTGAGACATCAAAAAGTATATAGAGAAATTAGGGAAGCATATTCCAATGATCCAAAATTGATAAGGTCGAATTTCTAAAAGTAGAATTATTGAATTCAATTTTTACATCGAAGAATTATTGTTTAACCGAATTCTTATTTAACAGAATTTCTATACCTCTCTCAAAATGTTAAATAACAAAATTTCAACAGATTTACCGAATCTTCATTTTGTTTACAGTTTCATTTACACTAACTGTTATTTGATACAATTTTTAATATTCATGCATCTCGACAAATTATTCACAAAAAATTTTATTCTGATATTTGATTTCAAATGAAAATATTCGTATTTTATTTGTAAAAAAAAATTTAATAATATATATTTTAAAATTTGCATCGAAATAATAAAACAATATTGCAATGTATTATTTATTGTAAATATATTTATTTATTTCAAACTAGTTTCAATTTACTTATATATATTTTCATAAATAAACATTGAAAATTAGTCCAATTAGAGAAAAATAAATTAATACTATACAGTAAATTGATTTTAGAATCAAATTACTTTACTGTATAATATATATTAATTGCAACAAGTTGAAATTTGATATACACACATATATATTGTATATGGCATACAATTGCAAAAATTAAAATGATTCTTCGTTCATATAATTTATAGGATTCAAAGAATATATTTCATGCGTAATTAAGTTATTATTAAAACCAGACTTGGTCAGACTCCGACCAATCGGTTTAATCTTACAGAAAAGTTAATCTAAAGTTGGCCTCAAGCCATGAACCAGTCGTGCTTCTCTCAGGCTTTATTATATCTTCCTATTGATATTAACCAATCGGTTATAATTTGTAACAGTTTATAGTTCCATTTTACGATGACGTACCTCCCTCTAAATTTGAATTTCTCCAAATTGTATTATTCACAATGAGTGATTGGATCTCTTGTTTTCAGATTTATTAATTTTTATATATTGGGTCAAACCATAAAATTTCGGTTGTCCAAATATTAACAAGCCACACTATTTAAAAAAAAATGGTTTAAATGAAGAAGATAATCAACTTTTGAAAAACCTTTCAAAATCTACAAAATAAAAAAAAAAGGGGACAAATCAGTTACCTGTACTGTAGCATTATGTCAAAAGTTTGTAACAACCTATATATCAAGTTTCCAAAGAATCAAGAAAATAATAGTTTTATACAAAAAAGTCAAAGTATTTATGAGGGAGTTCCGGTTGCTACCCACGCGCCACATTTGTCAACCCCATTTACTATTGCACAGTCTGACAATGTTACGAGATATATCCACAAAACTGTAACTTGAACTAAAAACTTAAACAATTATTTTCCCTAATCACAAAAGCAATCAGTTTCTTATATTTTTATTGTTCTCTCTTTTATGAAAGATGTATATCCAAATTTTCATTTAACAGAGCCTCATCATATCCATTTAACTAAATTCCATTTCACAGAAATTTTTATTGACTCAAATTTGTATTTTTATTTCACCAAATTTCGTTAGAATTGATAAATAAAATATTGCATAAATATTATATAAGAAATAAAAAATGTCTACAAAACGAATATTATGATGAAGTACACAGGTACAAGAAAATGGTATAACTACAAAGCGGTCAACGTTTGGAAATTTGATCCAAGTAAAGTAATATAATGATTCCAGGTTTTGTGAAGGATAATAAGTGGGCGGATTATATTTTAACGATAACGAAAAGATGCGCGTGCTTCAAAATCTGTAATAATAAACTAACACGTACCAAACAAAAAATTTTTTTGCAGAGAATATATAACAATTCGCTATAAAATTCGTTCAAGTTGAAATTTGATCATATATAATCCGTAATTCATATATATATTGAAAACATGAAAGAAAAATACGCAAATTAAATTAATCACGTAATATCAATTTATGAAGGGCTTATTGCAATTTGTTGAAAGTTTCTATATACTGAACATGAATCAGTAACATGATCCATGGCAAAATGATCTTCGAACAGAGATTACAAGGGTACTTGCACTGCTATAACAACATATAAAGACATATTTTTGCTTTTATTCCTGGATTTGTGTATCTGTCACTGTATATAATTATAATATACTATCCTCATGGTATACATATTCTAAATATATATATATATATATATATATATATATATATATATATATATATATATATATATATGTATATATATACATATATGCTCAGGTATATATATGAATACATATAGAATTGCATCTATACTACTAACTTCACTGTGCAGAAAAAGAAACCCAATACCCATCCACCTTGCATGTTGGCTTTTTCATGTCATATATACGTTACGGATCATAAAACACTCAAACAAATGCAATTTCTCGTAAAAATTATCAACTTTATGTTGATTAGAAAATTAAAAAAAAAATCTACCATGAAAAATATCTTTGGATGTTATAAAGCGTTAATTTCTTTAATCTCAAAAATTACAATCGTATATAAATGAAATTGATTTTAAAAACAATAAGATTAATTTACATAAAGTGCATGTCTATTGTCGATAAATTGAAAGCATTTTGCAATGACTAAATAAATGAAAATCGCGATCATTTCTATTTAACTTATATACATCTCCTCTTTTGCGCGAACGTGCGCGAGTATAAAGGTGTCGTGCGAATAATGAATGAGATATCCAATGACACCCGCCGATAGACGGAGGATCGGATTTCTCACGCACACACAGGAAGTAGTAGTATCATGAGGATTGTGACTCCAAAAGATCAACACACGCACAACTTATTTTCATGCAGGTGCATATAAGCTCTGATTGTAATCAATTCGTTAAAAAAAAAAAAAAAAAAAATTCTCAATAACCATAGCAGTAAAAATTAATTTTTAAGACTTGTTGAATTTCTTAATGGATTTTATATGCCAGTGATGAATTTCAACTTAAAACCAGCAGCTCATGCTGAATTTAAAAATGTTTTTCTCAATTATAACATATGTGTTTACTTTTATATATTTAAAACAAAGTTATTAAATATATAGAAGAGACTAATTTCATTCAAGTCACACGTTAATATGTGCAATGTAATTTTTGCCGAAAGAGATCAGGAAAAACGATCCTGTGACATCGTTATACCATTGTTGATATTATTACTATTATTATGTGGTGTACAATGGACGATGAGGGTAAGAAAGGCTCAGTGCACAGTGTAACCGAGACGGGCCGACTAATGGATTGATCCACCCGCCACGCGATATCCCGATACCTATATCCGTGTATAGAAATACACATGCATATATGTACAGTTTACACACACGCACTTTTCACAGTATCACATTCTGCTTTATCTATATATATGTAAGCACTTTCGTACATGTGCCGGTATGTATACATATATATGTATCATATATATACATATACAAGTATGCCACTTCATATGCCCTAAATGCATCCACAAGATCACCATTTATTCAAACATCAAGCTTGCATATAAATAAAATTTCATCATTCATGAAAATATAATTATTTCGAAAAATATATTATAGGGAAAGAATTAATTAATTGCTTCATTCAATTTTGTATAACAATAATAACGTTATATATCCATCATCATGAAGAATAATGATCATGAATATATAGATTTCAGAGTTATTATTAACTTTTCGATATTATAATATAAAATGTCATGTATATATTAAAATCATTGAAAAATTTTGTTTTGTTATACCAATGGGATGAATAGCTATACAATAATAAATGATATTAATAAGATCATCAATATCGAATCGTTAGAATGTCTCGGAGATGTTACTTGATATTTGACTAATCCTTTTTCTTATAACGAGGCTCGTTACTTTCTATCAAGGTTTAACAAATCCTAAGGGATCTAATTTCTCATTGATCGTCCAATGTAAGTCACAAGAAAACGGATTTTCTTACTTATTATCGACGACGGGGAAATGGGAGTTTTATATTCCTATAAAACAATTTACTCTTTTTCTGAAGATAACTTTAAAAAAAAAATGTACTCAACAAAATAGATAACTATCAGAATTTATGTAGAATTCAAGCATATTCTCCTGTTATACTATTCTTGAAAAAATTTCAAAATTAGAGAAAATATAAATCACTCTTTCTCTAAATTGTGAAAAAAATTTGAAAATCGAGAAGATAAAGAACTATAAATATAATATATTTTCTTTCAGGAATACGCAGCATCAGCAATGAGTGAATTTTTGGGATTGTACGGCTACGAAAAAGTGGACAGTGGATGTACAAGAGGTTTAAATTTGGATCACTTTGTATCGTCCGCATCGTCAAAACAGCATTCTTCGCGAACTTTGACCCGCTCTTTAGCATCGAAAACAATTGCCTCTAATTCGCCAATATCTACAAATCCTTCCGTTTCACCCCATTCCAGATCGTCGAGGTCACCTCCCACAAATATCTCTGTGATATCAATTAAGGAAAACAGTGGTCCACCCACATCATCTCCACTCTCATTACAAACGGGACTAGCCAGTCCTCGTGCTCATGAGAATAGTGATTCAGCATCCGATTCACCAGGTGAGATCAAATTTGATATTTCCGTCGATAAGAAAAAAAAAGAAAACCTCGAATACATAAATGTTTGTAACATATAGAAAATGAAAGCAAACACCATAACTTTGTAAATTTTTCCCTATATTCAAATTAAATTGGAGAAGATAAAAAATGAAAAAAAAAAATAAAATTTTGTTCAATCTGAATAGCTTTTAGATTTTTTTTTTCAATCTTTTATTATATTTTACTAAATTTCATATATTTTTTACTTTATTTTCGAAACAAAAATTTTATTTCACAAAGTAGAAAACAAAAACAACTTCCTGCGTTATTGCAAAGGAAGCCAAATTAATGACAAGATCACATTTTGAAGGTAAAGTGTAGAAAGACTTGGAAGTTTTGATTTGTTATAGGTTTGAAAACGATGATGATGAAAAGGAGTTAATTGAGGGGGTGGTTTGTGACTGGATATACAAACTTAACTTTAAGAAGTTACAAAGTTATCTTGCAACTTGCACGAAACCATAAAATTGTTCAATTACTTCATATAGGCACCTGTGTTATCATTTATATGTATAGACTTTGATGTGTTACATTACATTTCATGTAGAAATTTTGATATGACCTTATCTATGATTCAAAAAGTTATTATAACTTCAATTAAACGTCAAGTTTCCTGTGTAATTGCCGTTAAAATTTATATACGTATTTAAATAAAATCAAAATTTTTAAGGTCATAAATTGAACTTATGGTTTAAATAGTGCTATTAAAAATTTTCCATACACAAAAATTAAAACTAAGCATCAAAAATTCATAATGAACTTTATCAACAGTATTTATGTTTGACGTCAACAAGAAAACAAGAGAAACGCGCAGTGACTCGACTATTATTATAATTACATTCATCAAGATTTACAATGCCAGGCGTGAATTTTGTCTATGAAAATGAAGAGCTTAGAGATATTTTCATTAAGTGAAACATTGTTTTAAAAACTTGGGTGAATATTCTAAACAGAATCCAAAGTCAGCCCGATCACTTGGACATGAGTATTTTAGTAACCTCATCGTCTTCCAGTCTGCGTTTACTTCGTGCTACGGAAATAGCGCAACGCAATCCGATATGGGGCTCTTTCTATATGCTTAAACTATATAATATTGTTGAAAAAAATATTCATTCGACAAACAAGCAAATCAACTCCTACTCTTTTTATTTAAATTTAGGGCACGAAATACCTCTGGATGAGTTATTGAACCTCGACCAATTATTTGAAAGAAGAAAATGAGACTCAATCTTATATATAATGATATTCGATTGTTCAAAGAGGATTGTCTTCAAAACGAACTTTGGAATTTGCACCCTAGTACCACTATCACTATTACCCCGTAGTGTTACTACTACTACCTTCCTACAATTATTATTAAAAAAAAAAAGATTTTTTATATTTATATTATAAAAAATTTTCTTGTGTAGGCTATGTTTAAAAAGGACGAAAGGAGTCTAGATCATGGATATCAAATAGACACGTTGAAGCAATCGACTGTGTATATTTTCGGATACATTTGCGCAGTAGCACGGTCGGTGGCCTTCGGTAATTTAAAGCCTTCTCTTCTTTTCTCTTCGCGCTTACCCACACACATCTCTATATAGCTGATTTCTGATTTTATTCTCGCCTTTGAAAATCTATCAGCGAAAACAGCTACGGGAAAAATATAGGGGGGGAACATCTCTAATTCCGTTACATTGGATTTTCCGTAACATTCTATACTATATTTTCCCCCAAGTAAAATCAGCGCGAAAGTTGAATGTTATACCCAGACTATCGAATAGAACAGTAAAGTAACGTGGATCAGAGTAGAGAGCTTGAAACCCTAGAAGCTCCTATGACGGAATGGTTCGAATGAGCAAAAGGTGAAGCTGCAATGCCAAATAAACAGGGGTTGCCTGACGGAACGTGGGAGGCGAGGATGCAGCTGTAATTATTTACTACACTACGATATTGGAGAAGCCCCGACTTGGAAAAGATGTGACTCCGAAATGCTGTAGCGTCACCTTCAAAGGTGACTCGATACGCAACGTTCAGGTGTCAGCAAGGGATACACCCTTGGCCAGACTATTTTGCCTCATTCTACATATCTTTATTCAGCTATATATATATATATATATATATATCACACGTTCGCCAAGTTTTCATCTTTTTCCCAATCTATATCAAACATTTAGAATTTAATTTCAAAATCCCAAATGTTTAAAAATAAATTCAAAATTCATCAATTGAGATTCAAATAATCAAAATGAAAAAAAAGTAAAAAAAAAAAAAATTGTTTTAAAAAAAAATAATATTATATACAATTTTACAAGGTTTTACACGCATCCTTATATGTACCGTGAATCATGACCCAAACGAGGAATAAAGAAAACTGAGAACGTCGTATTGAGACGTAATACTGATCGTTATATGAGTATTACTTGATAGTGCAATTTAACACCAAAGGAGTCATTTGCAAGTTAACCGTGCGTAGTAAATTTATACTTTTGCATACGAAGAGAATTTTTGCAAACGATTACAATTTCGAGTAACAATATATGTTACATTACTAATGTTCTTGTCATTAAATATGTATATATATATATAATATGTACTGTTTTTCGCATCTACATCAACAATTGTTACTTGAATACTTGTCACAGTTCACTTCATCTGTGTATAATATTACGGATGCTGAAGATCTCTTTACCATGTGAAAGCGTTTTATTTCTTAACGTGTTCATCCTGAAAATGAGGGACTGATTTTTTCATTAGATACAACAGTTCTTTCAAAACTTGTCATAAAATATCATTTTGAAATATAAAAATGATAGTAAAATTTTGTAAAAATTATCGAAGAATTTTTTTTTTTAAGAAATTTCACTTTCTACAATATTTTTGAATCAATTTTTTTTTTTTTTGGAAAAAAATAGAAGTTTTTGATTTTTAAATCAATGAAAAAGGAATAACATAGAATGATGACAATTAATGATTGAATTTTTTCAGATGGTGCCACGATGTGTTCTTGGTGTGGTCGAGCGGAAGGTACATGGGAACCAGGAGGTGCTTGTGTCACCTATGGAAAAGCGAGTAGTTCCGGTCAATTTTGCAGTGAATCTTGTTTTGCTGCGGGCAGACGAGCAGCATTCAAAAGAGCAAGAACATGTGATTGGTGTAGACACGTTCGTCCTTCTATGAGCTACACCGATTTTCAGGTTTGTTTAAAAACAAAATTGACCATTTAAATAATTAACTGTAAAATTGCTATATTCTATAAATATTTACTTTTATTTTACAGGATGGTGATAATCAACTTCAATTTTGCAGTCAAAAATGTTTAAATCAATACAAAATGAATATATTTTGCCGCGAGACACAAGCACACTTGGCCCTACATGGCCTCAACAATACTATTTCCTCAACGAATCTCGGAACTGGTAATTTAATAACACCAGAACTGTGGTATCGTGATTGTATATCACCTACAAGTCGTTCAGAAGAATTAATTGTTGATGACGATCCAGTGACGAGATCATCATCAATTCATGATGATGACGAATCATTAAATCAGGAAGAGGAAAACAAAAGAGAAACCAATAATAAATGTACAAAAGACAAAAATTCTTTTCGCATTCGAGATATTGCACGTAGGGGAAAAAATGAAGAAGATATGGATGTTAGAGTTGATGAAGATGAAAATGTAATGAGAATTCGAAAAAATTCTGAAAAAGAAGATGAGCCTAGAAGACAAAATGAACAGTTTATGGAACAAATAAGATTTCAATTCCCAGCGGAGAATCTTTCTAAATTTGGAACTTCTATTTCACCTATGATTCGTGACAGAAGTAAAAATTATGTCAATTCAACAATTCAGGATTCAGGAAGCTCTCATGAATTAGAGGGATTTTCGAGAGAAACTTTAATCATAAAAGACACATCTGAATCGATACATAAAGAAAATAGCAGAGGACGAAGAAACATTCGATATGGGTAGATATATACAAATTTTAAACATCATTTAACATCATGTTAATAATTAAAAAATAAAATTTAACAACTTCTCTTATTTTAGAATTACGAAACCAAAGAAAAGTTCAAAATCGCCAACATGGGCATCAGAACAATCAACTCCGACATTATCGCTTATGGCGAACTCAACTCCAAGAATTGTACTTCCTCAACATACTCCATTTAAATTTCCGACACATCTGGGTATGCATCCTGGAAGACCATTATTAGTGAGACCACCAATGATTCCCCTTCGTCCTCAAATTCCCCTCAATTCACCTTCATCATCATCTTCATCGACAACAACAACAACATCATCATCATCGTCTTCTCTTTTACCACCTGTAACTGTTTTAGTTCCATATCCAATTCCAATACCAATTCCAATACCAATTCCATTACCAATACCAATGTTTAGTAAATTACTTAAAGAAAATGGTGATTTATCAATGAAAGATGAAAAAGTCTCAGGAACATCGATACCAGAAGACTTATCAAAACGAAAAGTTTCCACTTCAGAGACAAAAGAACCTCCAGAAGTATCGGAAATAATAAAACCCCCCTCACCTTCTACTTCAGATTTACAAACAACGAAAATTTATTCTAACGAAACAGTAGAAGCGAAAGTAAAACCAATTTGTTTAACATCGAAAAATTCGAGACCTTCACGAAAGAGGAGACGAAATCCTGAAACTTCAGAAGAAATCGAAATACAATTAAAACGAAAAATGTCGGTTTAAAAACGTTAAATGCCTCTAGCCTTCTCTTTATATGGTGCTATTATATGATTTATATATATAGTTGTGTTTTAAATGTACAACTTATGTTTTACATAATATGTATTTATCTATTAAAACTGATCGTGATCTATCAATTATTATATTTACTGTAGAAAACAAGAGTAAGCCATTCTGTGATTCAATTTCTCGTTGTCAAAAAAAAAAAAAAAGAAAAAAAATTTCAAATCTCAAAATAATAAAATATTTTATGACGTTCGAATAATGAAGTCTTCAATTATACCAAAGATGAAATTAAGTTAAATTAATTTTTTTTTATAATTTTCATGGAAAAATTAAAAAGTGAACAAAAAATTATCATATATATTATTATAATAATATAATAAAAATAAACTTTTAAAAATTTTGTAAATAAAACAAACTTACAAACATTAAAAAAAATGTTAATTAAAAATTTCTTAAATTAAATACGTCTTATAGGAATATTTCCAACTTATTTGGATTGTTTAATGGTATTTTTACAGGAATATAATAAAAAAAAGCATACTTTTTTAGTATCTCAATATATTATATATATATATATCAGATTTCGGAGCATGAATTAAAGAAAAGTATCCAACAAAACGTTTAAGTATTTTGCATTATTAAACTGAAACTTTCAAATAAGGTAAACATTGTTCAACAATTTTCGAAAAATTTAAAAGATTTAATATATATTTCTCTTATTAATGAATATTTCTCCAAAGTTCCATTATCTATATAAATACTTGAAAACCTGCACAGCCTTAATCTCCTAAACTATAATTCAGTTAACCTATAGTGATAACTATATAGTTAACAGTCCAGTCGATATCCTCAAAACTAACAAATAATAATTCTCATAGTAAAAATAGATATCTATTAAACAATATTGAAATTTCCTCCTTTTTTTTATGAGGTACAAAATTATTGGACTTAGGAACTTTAAAGATCTATCCCTCAACTATATTTTTTTTAACATCACTAATTCAGTCATAGCGTTTGTTCTCGATGCTCATTATTTTTCTAGAAATTTATTTCTAGTCTATATAAGGCAAGAGACTAACGCTTTTGTAAAACGGATACTTATCTTTGGCTCTTTGTACTTTTTTTTAAACCAATTTCATAATATAGAAAATGTGGTTTGTTTTAAACTTTTTGTTTTAATTTTATAATTTAAATTTTTTAAATTATAATTTTCAATTGTAAAGGTCCCAAAGAGAAATAACTCCATCTTTACCAGCTGCTGCCATCAAACATTTGCTATTGTAAGACTCGACTTTACCACCTGAGTATGCGATATCATAAATTCCACCACGATGTTGATCCAAAACAGCCAGAGGCCTCAATGATTTCCATGAAAAGATTCGCAATCGACCATCCCAACCTCCAGTTGTAAATACTTTTGAATCGGGCCTTGATGCAACAACAGCAACACCCTCGTTTTTGATCGTCAGCACAGTTTTGAGATTCAAATTGGTTTTTTTCATATCAAAAACCTTATTCAGAAAAAGAAACCCATTTAAAAATATTTATTTCAATCTATTTTATTTTAACCAAATTTTCGTGCAGTCAATATTTTCAAAAAAATTTTAACACACATTAAAATTATTTTAAAAAAATAGATCGCAAAAACTTTGGACAAAATATAATAATTAAAACCTATATAAGCAATTTGTTTACCTCTAATTTATTTGTGGAACTGCCAACAATCCCTAATTTTAATGTTTCATCTAAATCAATACTGAATGGACACTGTTCAATTTTTAGCCAAGACAAAATGCTTTTCATTCTCAAATCCCATAAAGCAATGTCACCACTTTCATAAGCTGCCAATACTAATTTTTGATCTTGTATACATGGCTTAATAGACATCAATTCGCCAAGTTGTTTTGTTTCACATTCAGCTACTTTTAGTGGATCTAATTCCTCCTCAATTTCCGAAGATTTAAGCGAAAACAATCCAATTACAGAATTTTTCAAAGGAACTAGAATTGAGTCCTCTAATAAAACCTTACTCCTAAATAGAATATAATAAAACACAATTAATACTAAATAAACTAAATTTAATCATTAGAGATTAAAGAATTAAATATTAATCTAATTTCACTTTTCCTTCTTATGATAAACAAAACAAATTGTAACAACTAAGCACAATTTAAAGACATACTTGCAAAAACTTGTTGCTTGTGTCTCAATTGTTTTATCAAGAATCCAATTAGATCCATCAGCATTCCAAATATTAAATGAACCACTTTTTCTTTGCGTTATAAGACACTCGTCATTAAGAAAATTTAGAGATTGACATTGATCTTCAAATTTAGTCAGCCTATATATTTCTCGATTCCTCTGAAAGGTATACACAAAAATTATTTCTAAACAAAATTCTCTATCCCCAAAAACTGTTATCTCAAAATAATAATATCTAATATAAACAAAGAAATACGAATACCATATTGAAAAATGATTTGAAACTACACAAAATACTAAATTTGTTTTAAAAAAAAAGATAATTTTTTGAAAAAATTTTCTTTTTTAGAGAAGACAAACAAAAATACCTTTAAATCCCAAATATGAATTATGCCACTTTCAGTTCCTGCATAAATATGCTCAACATAAGGCGAAACTCGGAATAAAAGACTGTGGACGGGACCCATATCACCACGTAATAAATAAGCCGGATCAGGAGGAAGAATTGCCATTTTTGATCACTAATTACAAAATGTTTTCACTTTTTTTTTTTGTTGTCAATAATAAATTTTGAAATATAATAACGTATACTAAACGATAGTAGAAGACGGGAGGCTCACGACACGTTACAAAATAAACGAACTGAATAAATGAATTTGCATTCAACTATTTGCTTATTATTATTGAATTAGATGCAGAAAACAATCAAGTAATCTACACATATCGAATAAATGCGAAATCTATTAATTTTGAAGGCTGTCAAACCATTTTTGGCGAAACGCGTCGTTCGTACCTCCCGTCTTCTTCCTTTCTTCCTCTATTGTGGCCATATTTGCCCTTGAATTGTGTGTGTGTGTGTGTTGATTACCGGCTCAATGAGCAAACTGTCAACATACATCAGCTGACAAAACAAAATAAATAACTCACACTTTTCATAGGACTTTAAAAGTCTAATTATTGTAGCTTTTAGATTTTTTATCTTCATATAAATAAATTCTATTTACTATATAAAGATTTATTTTTAAAAATAAAAAGAATTTTTATTTTGAACGACGTAGAATTTAAATGAAAATTAACCTTTAGGTTATTGTAAACAGATTGCGCGAAACTTATTATTGGGATTTAGTGACTCGCGATTTGAAGCAAACACTGCTTCTCGGAATGAACACTAAGGTCGCAAGCACTACGATCGCAAAAATTGAATTCAAATAAAATAGAAATGTAAATAAATAGCCAAAATAGCTAAATAAATACAAAAGTTTAAAGTGTAAATAAATAATAGTAAATGTTTAAAAAAAAAATAAGCAAAAAAATATCTATATTTCTCTTTTTGTAAAAATATTGAGAAGTAACTAAATTTAAATTAACAATAAGTTAACAAGTAACTCATTGAATTCAAGAATTAGTTATATAAATATTTTAATTATTGTAATTGTGTATTTAAAACCCCTCCCCTAATTCAAATAGCAAAGTTAATATCAAAATAATTAAAAATTAACAAGAAAATAAAATTAATCGGATGTGGAAAGAACAAGAAAATCTCTTAGTGACGAAGTGGATAAAAATATTAAAAGCCAATGATAAAAAATAATCGACTCTTAATAAAAGAAAAATTTACACAGTACCTTTTATCCTGAAAGAAAATATTGTTAAAACTCTCCTCTAAACTATTTATTTTTTTATCATATATTATTTACTTTTATTAACAAATGACAATATTTAATAATCTAAATTAGCAGACAATAAACGTAAAAAGAAAATAATTAAAATAGTAAATTTTAAAATGCAATTATTAAAATAAAAAAATACTGAAATACTAATAAATTGAATTTTAAAAAATAAATATACACTAATTTTAATAAAAATAGTTAAAATAATTAAAAATATATTTCATATTTTTCTTGGCATCAGAAAAAAAAATTATTTTTCACAACTTTTCTAATTAATAAAAAAATAGTTATATCTAATTAAAAACTTGAATCTTTTTAACTTTAAATATTTCATATTGATGTTCGCGTGTACCAAGAAAAATACATAATATAACTAACTCTAAGAAACACATAATAATCAGAAATCCACTTTTCAATTGAAAAAATATATAAAACAAAGTTAAATAATATATTAATTCAATTAGATGTCACTAAGAAATTTTCTAAAATTGTTACAACTTGACTCCGCCACAATATAATAGAGACAAGAGGGACTTACAAAATCGCGGATTATTTCCGATATGATGACTGATAAGTTGCTCCTCCTTATATTTTCTCTTTCTTCTAAAGCAGGATGAAGAAAACAACGAATTAACCTCAGTTGAAAATATAGAAGAATTTCTCTTAGAAATGGAAACGAGTGTTGAAGAAATGAATGATGATGTCCACTATATATTCAATGTTAAGATTCCTGTTCTTCATAAGGTCCTTCAGCACACGGATCACTTAATCACTAAAATTTAATTAAATTTAAATTAATATAGAAATTAAAATAAGTATAAAGAAATTATAAAAATTATCTTCCAATAAACATTAAAAATATCAAATTTTTGTAAATATTACTAGTATTTAAGAAAAGAAAAGAAAAATTGAACTTTTAACAGAATATTGAGTACAAAAAAAATTGTAAAAATTAATAATATTTTACCTTTTTTATAATAAAGCGAGGATGAATTGCATGGGTTTGTCACTATCATCGCCAACGCCACTATGAAAACTTCCTGAAACAGTAAAAACAGTAAAGTAAATTTCACTTATTCTTTATTACTTTTTTTCTATATATTTAACTCGAAAATAAAAAGAATTAGTAAAATCTTCAAATAAATTAAATTAAATATTGGCGAAGACAAATGACAACACAAACACTATAACCCCAAAATCACAAGTTGTTTTAAAGATGGCTGTTAGGTAAAAATTATATATTGTCTCGCAAACTTATACAAAAAAGAAACATTAACACCTCTGAACGAGTATTAAAATGCAAGATATTGTCGAAATTAAAAAAAAATATTTCTTTTTTGACTTTGAATAAGGAGTAATACGGGCTAACACACTTCACAAAAGAAACAAATGCTGTTAACATGTTGAATCTTCAAAGCTTATGACGTTGTTCTTCCCGCTTCAATGTGAAGTCATATTCTCTACAGTTGGTAATTTTAGTCTGATATTTATTTTACCGACACACAAACACCCACAATTATTATATTTATATGTACGTTACATTAATATAATATATTCAAAACTTCAAAGAATAATGATATTTTAATATTTCCATTGTTCATTTTTGAGAAAGTTTCTTAATATTTTTTTTAATTAAGATTAAATAAATTAGACTATTTAATTACAAAGTGTCTAAACGTCCGGCTAGACGGATATCAAAAAACGTCTAAACGTCCGTCTATATCCACCCGACTTTGTCCGCAGAATACTTTCGGGCATTTCCGACCCCCCCCCCTTCCTCCAAGGTTTCCTTAATATTTACGTAGACGGACAAAATTATCAAAAATTATTTTGTCCGTCTGGTCGGACGAATAGACGCAGCGATTTAATTAAGTGTATTATATTATACATAGTACCCATATAATGTTTTTAATTAAGTAAATAAAAAAAATTAACCTACTCCATTTAATAATATATAATTATATAATATAATATTACATTATTATAATGTAATATGCAGTACTTTATTATATGTAATATTTATAATATTATAATACATATATACAGTAAGAAAAGCTCCATGGTAGTCATAGGAAAGCATGCGTTACGCATAAGTTTGTCTCACTCGCACTCATGGGCTGTGACTACCATGGAGCTTTTCTTACTGTATAATATTATATTATTATACTATACATATATATATATTTGGCAGAGAAACTCTGCAAGATTGTAATTGTAAATAAAAAAGAACTTTGAGGTAATTATTCATGCTTTATACCTGTATTGTTAAACTTCTTTTTTCTTTTGACCTTAAATTCTCCTCTTCAACTGCAAAAAAGTTGGAGAAATCAATGATAGCTAAATAAAAAATTGGTCAAAAAAATTTCTTCAAGCGACGTGGATCTTGCCTCCATGACGTCCAAGATGGAACTGAGCGTGCGCTGTTGAAAAATTTTATTTTATACCAGGAGCTCGACAAGGAGCTCTACTGCCGTGCGCTGATTGGACGGGGCACTTTCTGCGGTAGCTAGACGCTGATTGGCAGGGCGCTCTAGCTGTCGAAGTCTATAAATATATGTCGTTTTACTCCCACCACTTCAGTGAGCAGTTGACTATTCAAGACGTAGGATCTGAGCAGCTTAAAAAAAATATTTTTAGCCTTCATTCATTGTTGAGTCTAGACTGGACAGCCATTTCTAATGTTGAAAAAAGCATAATTGCAAACACATTCCTGTTTCTTTTGTACATTGCAATAATTTTTAAACAAAAGGAATTATATATGAAATATTTAATTATTGAGTTATATAAAAAAACATTATGCGGTGGATAATTCACATTATCAAGTAGATTGATTATGTATTACAGGATCAACAAAAGAAGAAATATGTGGTTAGTATTGAGCTTTTTTATATTAGGTAAATTTTAAATGAATTGAATATATATATAATTTTCCCAAATTGAAGAGGTAATAGTACATATTAACTGATATTCCCGCATAGTGCCGCCATCTTGTTAGGAACTTTCGTAGTTTAGTAACTTCAGCAGCCAGTATATGCAATTACATATAGATTATTATTGAAATTTTTGTGCAACAAAATGAACAAGTGACTGTACGTTGGTTTTATGGTGAATAATTCGATCGAGGGGAAATAATAATAGACAATTATATTACAAATGGAAGTACATGGTGTTACAAGCATTGAAGAAATGTACGTATATACGCAAGTTTGTATGTAGGTTTATGAAAATGAGTCAGTTTAGGTTATGTTGATATATTTCGTTCTATTGGTTAGTAATACGATTTTAATTAAAGTAATAGTTTTTTGTTAAATATTTTTGGGGGAATTATAAAAATGAGCCATTTTAGGTTATGTTGATATATTTCGTTAAATCAGTTAGTAACACAATTTTAATTAAAGTAGTTTTTTGTGAAAAATTAAGACATAAGTGTTATAAATGTCTTAAAAAAAGGAATTTAAGGGTATACAAAGTTACACATAATTAATATATTTTTATTATTATATGAGGCACATAAAGTCATAAGTAACTGTGACTTATATATTTTTTCATAAGTTTAATATATATTTATTAACTTAATTAAATTAAGCGTTGTTTAAATCTATCCATAGTTAACATTTTTTTATATATAACAAATAATTTATTTCTATGTATGCATAAATTTTATGATTATAACACATATGTTTTTAAATATGTCGATAAAAATTAAATTGAAGAGAGTTTAAGTAATATAACGAATATTTTACTACTAAAGAAATAATCAATTTTTCCAATTTGTTTCTGTTGATCAATTTATTTGCTTGGTAAATAAAAACCGTTGCTCCAGTTATACAATGTTCGTTAAAAAGTTGTATCAGCAATACATAAGAGGTCAAAGACATCAATTAATTCAAACGTATAGTTTTTCGTAATTCCGATAAAATTTTCTGATGTAATTAAATTTTTCTTGATTATTTTGTTACATGATTTTTTTAATTAATTAAATGTGGAAAAAAATTTATTTTTTTCTTTTTCCACAGTTAATTGTTAATATTAAAATTAATTTTTAAATTATAATTTTACAACATATTGTTTATGATTAAGCATATATTTGACAAAGAATATAATTTATTTAATTTATTCTGTTGCAGATTTTTTTCAAGAAAGAAAACAAGGAAAGGAACTATATATTGGAGAGAACAAAGTGAGTCTTTTTATTTTTCACCTTTCAAATCATTGTTGTAACCTATTAATTTTTTAAACAGATATTATAACAAAAAAATCAAATTTAAATGTGAGTTCGAATTTATTTGGATTTGACAATATTAAAAAAAATTCTATACAATATTCAGATTCGTACTTATATTAGTCACTCCACAATCATACGTGAACAAAAGCTTGAAATTTAATTTAAC